CACAGTTCTTGCATGGTTGCATGGCTGGTGCCTGCTGAAGTCAGAGTTGTATCGGAAGCCCTTGCTGATGTGGAAGAGCTGCGTGGCTTCTTCTAAAATGTGTCCTGTCAGTGATGGTGACTGAAACAAAAATGGGAATATACCAAACACAAACCTCTTGTCTATCAGTTTTTCTTGTAGAAAAATGTAGCTTTTGCTTTTAAAGGGAGAAGAAAATTAAATGTTTGTGCCTTAGGTGATTATTTAATTTCATAATTTCCCTGGCAATAGTTTTTGAATTTTAAAAAATGTATAACGCTCAATGAGGTAGAGAATTTTGTAGTGATCTGCATTTTCCGTTGTGAAACTGAAAACTACTATATTTTTTACATGCAAAAAAAAAAACTTAGCAGAGGTTAAATTGGGGCAAGCAATGTGGGATGTGACATAGAAGGTGTAGTTATTATCGTATTTCATGTTTTTAATAATTATGAAATGATCACAAAGACACAAATTTTCTATGCAGCAGCTAAAGAAGAAGTTGCGAGTCTGTTGTGTGGAACCCTTACGTGTGGTAGATTCTGTGCATCACTACGAATGCTCTGTTTGCAGGTGGTCTGCCAGCAACAGGACCACGGCTTGCTTGGAGGGAGAAAGAGCTCTCCACCTGCACGGTGCGAAGTCCACAGGAAATGGAAGGTTGCTCGCTGGCTGCATCAAAGCAGACACTGGAAGACAGCATCCCAGCCCAGCCAAGATGCAGGAGATATTTGTGGTTTGGCGAGGAAAGCATGGAGTAGCAGTAATTAAAGGTAAGTCACCTTCTGGGAGCTTGAACAGTTGAGAGACTAGGAAATCCCACGTTCTTACTACAAGCTGTGCTTTGATTACAGCAATCCTGGGCAAGGGCCCAGTCCTGTGTTCTTCGCGTTAGTGTTTGCTGTTCATTTTTGGAAATCTTGCTTAGGTCCAGCTCATAATGGAGAAGGAGAGTCGGGGTAGAGCTGTGTGCACAAGAGCCACTAATCTCTGAGCTTCTCCTATCCCATACTTTATTAAACACGTTGTAAAACAAGGAAATCACTTATTTGAAAGGCTTGTGATGTTTCTCGTAGCTTGAAGCAGCAGTAATGTGATTGCAACTATAGTGTGCATTTTCTACACAGATACCTCTCAGCTGTTTCCCGGTTGCTGTGCTCACATATGTCTTAGTGCTTCCCTCATGTGTGCGCCTTTACTCGTGTTAAGCTTCCTCAAATTGTACTTAGATTGCTAAGGTGACTAATAAGCTAATGAAGAAGATTGGCGTTTCGGAGTCATTCTGTGTAAAAACTGAAGCCGCTGTACTGTAATTGGAGCGTGATTGGATTGATGCTTGACCAACTTTGGATGAGGAGCAAAGGTTTGCCAGTAAGATTTTAAGAGTGTCTGTAGGTAAATGGGATGTGTGTGAGTCTTGAGCTACCGGTGGGAGTCATATCGTGTCATTTTCTCTTAAGGTATTGCATAGCTCATTTCTCCTCAGACTACAGTGTGTGTATCTTTCCTAGGGCCGCGCTAAAATTTACAGCTGTTTTGAATTTCTCAAAAATTTTCTGAAGTATTGTTCATTTTACGTAGTTTTTGGTGTGCCAGGCTTCACTCATTTGAATGAAGTACCAGTCTGGAGCCAACAACCTGAGAGGCGAAATGCTACACCATGCCTTGGGCAGCAGAGGGCAGCAAAGAGCAGTGGAGGAGGTGGTACTTGATGTCAGCTACTGGGGATCCTTCCTGGGGTGGAGGCGAAGATGTGGGCTTCCAGATGGCCAGCAGGAGGAGGGATCATTACAGTGAAGGAGATCAGAATAAATGAGACATGTACAGGATTGACATGCAGAGCCATAGCTGACAGTGTTACATCTGCCATGCGATGAGCAAGAGGCAAGAGAAAGCACAGATTAGAACACTTCTGTACTGATTGCTATTCCCAGTCTGTCTGATGCAGGTCAGATGGCTGAAGGTAGCAGGCCTCCACAGGCAGTTCTGGGAGCTGATGCAAACTGGCTGTGTGGGAGTTAGCAATGATGTGCACACAAGGACTGAGGAGTCCAGAACCAGGAAGTGGAGAGGTCACTGAGTCCGAAGTTCAGTGACAGAAATGATAGCATCATACACAGATACAGCAAGTGGTAAAGCTGCAGGTGCATGCCAGGAGTGTGATCTTGCCACCTACCTGAGCAGGATGTGCTTTCCCAGTGCTGCGTATGGGAAACCTGCTTGTTTGCAAAAACATCGTGTGATTCAGAAACCAGACAAACCTCAATCTACCAGTTGTTAGGCATCTGCCCCCTTGCAGTACACTGCCCTGAGCTTCAGTTTCTCCGTCTGTAATTCTTGTCTCAGAAGCTGATGATGAGGTAATGAAACGAGTACCTTGTCACTTGGTACTTGCTCAGTGGATTTTATTGTGTGATGCCTTCTCTCCTGTTTCTCTTTGTGCTTGCACAAACACCCATACTGCCATTTGCTGTTCAAAACTAGTGTCTTCCTGTCTTCTATAAGCATGCTAGAAGCTAACAGTGAAGTAGCATGTACTGTGTACGCTGTCTTGCTAACTTCTCTATTCCTTGGTTTCACTTTATGGTCATGTCAGCCCTGTGAGGTGCTTTGGAGTTGGGGACACTGAGACTTCAATACAATCATTGATTTTACCAGTGCCCCGTATATGGCAAGTACTGAATGGGGATTCAAAAGCCACAGGGTCTGATTGTCATGCTTTTGCAATGGTCACTGTGTAGACAGTTCATCATTCATCCAAAAATTGAAGAGTAGAAATAGAATGAAGAAATATTTTGTTTGTGATGTGCAATAGCATTGCAACTGGCAAGGCATCATATTTATACTATTTCTTCTATTCGGCATTTAGGATGGAAAGTCCAGAGTTCAATGACAGAAATGGAAATAGACTGCTGTGGATTGAGTCCACCACCTCAGTCCCATTTTGGAGCCTGGACCTCTCTCTTTCCTTGCCATGCAAGGACACGGTGTGAAGGTGCTGGACTATAAGCAGGAAGAGTAGCTGAGTCGGGGGAGGCTACGTGATCATTGATTTTCAACCTTCAAACCTGTAAGGTTCATAAACTTTTTCTTTTGACAGATTACCTGTTAAAAAGGGGTTTTGTTATAGGAATAGAAAATGGGGTTTCACTATCAAATGACACAGTAATAATAGTATTGTAGTATAGTTTTGGGAAATATTGCCACTTGGGCAAACTGGATGAAAGATTTAAGGAATATCTGTATTCTTTACAATTTCCTGTACAGGCATGATTATCTCAGATTAATTTCAAAGAATTGAAAGTCAGGGCCCAAGTACAGCAGACTGACTGGGAGTGGTCAGTTTGTCAGCTATGGCATGAGCCTTAGAATTCTGACATCATAGTGGTGGGCTGGCCTGCCTTACGGCCGAGCCCTCAGTCCTCCCAAAGGCATGTGCCTGTCTCTACATGTTGATTTATATGCCCATCTAGTTGGAAAGGAAGAATGTCATCAGTAGCTGAAAGCAGCTCCAGCCCCTCCCCGAACAGCCCAGAGGCCCAAGACACGAGGTATTCTTTCCATACTTCTGCTTAACCTAAAAATACAGAGTAGTTGGTAATTCTGTTGATATCACGAGAAGATACTCAGGTTCTCCTGATTGAGCCCTGCCGACAAAATTATCAGGGAGGCAACTCCTCAACCCCATGGGACACAATTCCCCCTTAGTTTTTTCTTGTGAAAAACTTCTAAAACGGAGCCATCCTGTTTAGGAAAGAGTTTTGTGTTATTTTCAGTCGAATGTGTTCATGGCCACATAGACCTATTGGGATGTGGTCCCAATGCAGCCAATCTATACCTAAGCATGGCTTCTTTTTAAAAACGTTTGGATACTTGCAGTATTAGTTTGTGTTTTCAGCATTGCCACACTCCCTTAGATTTGAATACTGATTTAGATGAGACGGGGAACATCATATTTGTGGGGAATCAATATATCCGAGTTATAGAAATAATCATGCAAACTTGAGACCCAGTTGTAAGGACATCTTTACCGCCATATTTTTTACATGATTTTTACGGATTGCCTGCTGAAATCATAGTTTGAGTGCTCGGAGAGTGAAAGCTGAGGTCTCCGTTTTAGTATTCCTTACAGAGACTTGTATGGTGGCTAAAGGAGAGTATTCATTCCGTTATTAAATGGAAATATACTCTCTTGTAAGACATCAATTGCTTTAAAAGATTAGGAGCATATGATTTCATTTTCTTTGAAAAAGGAAGCGGACATATTTTTGTTAGAGCATATCTGTTGCGTTTATAGTTAGAATGAATTAGCATCATATGCGTGTGGAGAACTTAACAGTTGAAAATTGCTTTTGACATTTGACTTTAACTTGCGCTCTGACCCTGTGGATAGAGAAAATGTTTGCAGATTACATATTCTGTTTTCTGTTATCTGTTGCCTTTCGCACACAGCCTGTTAGAGACAGCTGAACTCTTGATTTGCTGCGAGCTTGAGCACTTTCAAGCCCTTTTTTCTTCCTCATTTCCCTCAAGCGTCCACTGGTCTCCACTTACTGCTAATTGTAAATTCATGTTCAGACTTTTAGATGCTTATTGGCAATATCACAGTCTCAGGATGGAAATCTTTGGTTAAAATAACACAGCTACGACAATGATCAGAAACAGCCTCAGAATCACAGGAATTTCTTCTTACAGACCTGTAGGGCCTAGTTTTCCTTGAGCTTCTCGGGGACCTCTGCTTAGGATCGTCTAAGCTTGGTCAAAGAGTTGGCATCTCTAACACCCTGAGTGCCCTCTGCACTTTCAGACTTTTAAAACATGCAACGCTGTTAGATTTAGTCAGAGATTCTCGTTGAGGAAATCGAGGGTATAATTTTGTCAGGTGTCACTGCAAATGTTGGCACAATACTTGGTCTGTCTTTGGTCATTGTATTTGGTCACTGACTATCTTCTCTGTGGTGTGGCATGTTGAGCAGGCCCAGACAAGAAGGCACGACTCCACCGGAGCAACCCCGCCGCCGCCTTTTGCTGCATGGACCTGTGAAACTGACGAGAAATGGTCAAACTACAAAACACATAGCTTTTCTCTATGAGGATGAGTTACTCATATCAAACACTAGGTAGGTACATGCCAGGCATACTTTCCTGTTTTTTTTTTTTTAAAGATTTATTTTTATTATTTTTTCATTGGAAAGGCGGATATACAGAGAGGAGAGACAGAGAGGAAGATCTTCCGTCCGATGATTCACTCCCCAAGTGAGCGCAACGGGCCGATACTATGCCGATCGGTTCCCAAAGCTTTGGGCCGTCCTCGACTGCTTTCCCGGGCCACAGGCAGGGAGCTGGATGGGAAGCGGGGCTGCCAGGATTAGAACCAGCGCCCATATGGGATCCCGGGCGTGCAAGGCGAGGACCTTTAACCACTTGCGCCACCGCGCCGTGCCCACTTTCCTGTTTTTAAAATTCGTTTTCATGGACGGTTTTTCTAAGCAAACAGAATGGTATTGCAAAGGTTTTGTGGTTTTCACTTATTTGTGAAGTATTCTGGGAAGGTTTGTTTTCATCTTTTCCCTTTAGGAAATGCAATCAAGAATGGGAGAGTCAGGGTTCCTCTTTCTTGGGACTCAGAGAGATGATAAAATAGGAAGCAGACAACCGAAGGTTGTGATAAGTGTGGACTGCGATCTTCTCGGGGGTTAGAAATGGTGCCGAGGACAAGGTACAGTGTGAGAGAGGAGTCCTTGCAGCATTTAAACTGTGCCTGTGGCATGAGAAGCAGCCACCTGTTCTAGGCAGAGTGCCCCGTCTGATCCCAGTAAGGAGCTGGGGGATGTTTATTAAGGGTTTTTCTTGTGGAAGTGACGATTTCAGGTGAGTTACATATTATCCTGGCCGCGGGAGACAGTGGATTGGAGAGCAGCAGGCAGGAGTGAAGGACAGACACTGAGTGCTGGATGTGATAAGCCAGGTCACCAATTCCACGAGCCCCACCATGGGAGTGACAGAGAAGGCAACCTAAAGGACAGGCAGATTTGCAATGTCAGTTGGAGCTGGTTGCTGTTTCTCTTAGCCCTGAGCACAAATGCAGGCACTTTCCAGCCTGAAACATGGCGACTGTTGAATACACACCTGCAAGGAAAGAACAGAAGCAATGGACTGATGTGTTAACCTGCTACACCCAAGTGTTCATGATCAGAAGACAAATAAGTTTAAAAATCTCTTCAAGAAATGTTGTTGTGAATAGAGACAGATGAAATTTTAATGTTCTGCCCTACCCGAGCCTCCAGTCCTGCCTGGCCTAGTGAAGACTACAAGACTTGGGCCCACTTTCCTAAAATGCAGTCACATCTGAGTGACAATAAAGTGAGGTCTGGCGGGTCAGGTGCATGCCGTGTGCACTATGATATATTAAGAACATCTTTTACGTCCCCTTGCCTACATCTTGCCTTCATTCTTTGAGATGCAATTCCTTTCCTGTTTTCCAAAAGGCTTTGATTGAGAGCGATTCGAGATTTAGATACATCTGATGTGTTTCCACACTTATGTTTTTCCAAGATTATATATGTTCAGTCTCTCCCTTAAGACAAGCTTGGAAATAAGTCAGACAGTATTTAACTTTTGTTCAATGCCTCCGCTCCAACACTATTCAATTCAATAAGCTATTGATTACCAATGAATAAGCAATTCTACAAGTAACACCTTTAAAATGTAGAGAATGGTGTGCGCCTCACTGAAGTCAGCATTAAGAAAGACAAACGGCTCACGTCCTGTGATCGCCTTTCACTTCTTCTCTGTTCTCGGGTGCTCCTGGGTCAGCCCTCACTGGGCACACTTAGTCTCACTTACTTGTGGTGTGGAATACATGGGAATGGGGTGTGCTTGACCCTGGAATGGGGAGAACTGGGTTTTTCTCACAAACACAGCTGTTCACACCATGTTTAAGCAACAAACATCTCATTTGTTTTTTTTTTTCCCTCTAGATACAAAAACAAATTGAAATGGAAATACCAGATCCCGCTTAAAACCATATGGCTTGCCAAAGGTGCTGAAGGGGAAGGCGACGCCCACAAAATAAGAACATTTCAGTTGGGATGGCCTATGAACAATTTTTCAGCAAAGTTCTCGTAAGTACCACTTTTGTGTCTTGCGCTATCACTTTGATATGGACAGTCATAGTCATCTTGGCCTTGCCTGGGAAATGGAGAGAAGTATAATTCAATTTCCACAGACTCTTTGTGGGGAAAGTCAAACATTTTAATGTGCTACTGACTCACATGTGGCCTTCAACCATGGCACAGGCCTGTCGTCTTCTTCCCCCCAAAGCTTTGGTGTGCCACTGAGTGCAGGGATCAGGGACTGAGGGCTCCATGAGGGGTGGGTATTTTGAGCAAACCTTTGTGATCCCTCTCCAATGTCCTCCAGCCTCTACACCGAGACATTTGTTTCAACTAGAACTTCTGTTTGGCGTGTTCACTGACATGGCATCTAAAACACGTATTTGGTTCATGGGTGTGAGGTTTCCAAGCATAGTTTTGTGATTGATAATAGGAACAGTGCTCCATTTCCTGGAAGTTTTAAGAGTAACCCTTGTGTAGAGAGGGATGGTGGAAATCATGCCTGCTGCCATAAGAGGCCCACAGCACATCTTACGTGGGGTTCTCCTGTGGAAAGTCTACAACACAGCCTATGCGGGATTCTCCCGGGGAAAGTCTATAGCACATCCTAAGCGGGATTCTCCCGGGGAAAGTCCATCATATGTGCTCAGTGTCATTTTTTACTCTCCTCTTCACTCTACCAAAGTCTTACAGGTCACTCTGAACTTGAGGCCATGGAAATGTTTCCCAGTTGTTAATGTCAATTATGAGATGGAGTTGTTGATTGAGGGAAAATATGTGCGATGCTTATTGGGAGAAAAGAGTCATTTGTACCGTTCTCTGCTTTTCCGTAAAAAATGTAATGGTTCTTAGGATCTACTGCGCAGTGTCTTCTCAGTCTTTCAAGTGGTGTGTGGGAATATGTGGCAATTTTGAGAAGTCTGACTAGATGCTTTTTTGAATGAGGGTAAGTGTGGGCACTAGATAGATACAGGTTATGTTGCCCGTGGAGCTATGTGAGCACAAACATACCCAGGACGACCAGGGTGCAACACATTTTCTGTTGGCTGTATCACTTTAATGCAAATCAACGTAAGTCACTAGAAGCAGTGCCCATGTGTGTAGGAGGATGTGCAGCCAAGGAAGGGTCTAATTTGCTGTTGAAACATGAGATACAGAAGTGCAGAGTGGAGGCGCTCTTAGTGGTGGAAACAGGAAATGTTGCAGGCCCTGAGGAAAAGTCTGTGCTTGAGCAGTTCTACTCTGGAATATAGATGTAAGAAATCTGTAAATGTACAATTACACCATATTTTTTTTTTATCCACCAATGTTCCCAGTAGCATTGTTTGAAGTAGCCAGTATCTAACCAAGAAATCACATGTTCAGCAACTGATGAATGGGTGGTCAAGGAGCAGTGCAGGATCTGGCAGTGGGGAGAATTGGAAATGACTTCTTTCTGAGTTCAGGGATCTTGGGATAATGAAAATATTGTAAACAAGCTAGTATTACAGATGTCTTTACAGGATGGTGAATGTACCTAGGCACACAAGCGGGCAATGGGATCTGTCATTGGCCACACCCATTTTGAATGCTAGTAATTGATACATCCATGTATGTTTGAGCCTTGGAAACCTTTCACTTTAGATATTAGATGCACCAGTGGTATACCAGAAAGGATTTTAAGCATGGACCTTTTGGCGGTAGGAGATTTGAGCTTCTTCAATGTATCATAGTTCTGAAACAATGTTTCCTGGGCATTCATTGAACATAGGACAGTTCTACAATCCCGATGAAGTACAGTAATACAGGTCCCACACAACTTCCCCACGAGTAATATCCTTCCCGTGGCGAGCCTTCCGTCCACGTCCCTAATCTCTTCATTTGAACTTTCCCCGAATCACAGTACTTGCTGCATTTGAATAACACTTCAACATACAAGCGTACTCTGAGGTCTAATTCCTGCAAACAGGCTTACATCATCAGTTCGGTGACGTTCCTGCAGTCACAGTTAGCATGCCATAGTTGCAGTTTGGGCTTTAGTTTCAAGTCAGGATGCTGTACAAGGGCTGAGTCCGTTGAGAGCCCGGGTATGAGGGGGCAACCATTTACACCTGAGCTCCTGTTCCCCGCTCTTGTCTGCTAGTGCTTTTATCTGAGCTGATAGTCTAAATTGGATGAAATCAGTTTTTTACATAGGTTAATATGTTCTCCCACTTCTCTATTTGCAGTTCCGTGGCTTTTAAGGAAAAGTGGAGTAATTTACTTGAAAGGTATTTCTGCAGTCTACACCTTCTGTATCTTCAGTTTGTGATAAGAGAACACATATCTCTGGAGGTGGTGCCCCCACATCACACCCCCCAGTAACGCTTTAGATAATCTTCAAATAATTTTTCACTTGGATATCCTCTGCAAGTACTATGAAGCGTGTTCACTCATATTCATGAATGTTCTATTCACTGTTGAAGTTCTAGCTGCTCCACTTATTCTTTCTCTACCTAAAACCTTTTGAACGCAGCAGCTGCTGTCCTTGGTATAGAGCAAGTTCTCCCCGGTACAGGCTACTGTACTGAGTGCTGCCTCTTAGCCTTTAGAACGTGTGACGGTGGCATCGGTCCTTCCAGTGCGGGCCCGAATGCTTTGAGCTGTGCCTTTAATCCTCAAACTACACTTCACAGCACTGGGCCATGTTTTCCTTTTCCTGAATTACTTTCCTACTCATATTTTGACCTTGGTTAGACATTCTAAATGTACAAGAGCCCTATAAATATTTATATCGTATAAGCGTAAAACTGCTATGGATATATACACAGAATAATACGTGTATAGTCCCTGTATAAATATATGTATTAAATATCTCTGGCAAGGGTTTTGCATACATAAATGAAAAGATATATATAGAACAAATTTGCATCATGAGTTGATTTGAAAGGAATTATTAGCTAATTGATCTATTTTGGGTTCTTTATGAATTTTATTAGGTATATCACTCATGCTAAGGAATTGGAAGGAGTATCAAGTTCTCTAATAAAAATTGACGTGAAGAATATCAACAACTGTTCCCGCGTAAGTGTGTTTTTTGCTAAAAATTTGAAACTGCAGTTATGTGACTCAAGCATAATGAAGGAGAGCCACACTGAGATAGAAAGTGATAGACATTAAAAAGCAGGAGAGGAGGAGCCAAATGATGGGAGAGAGGAGCGAAGAGAGAGAAGACAGAAGAAGGAGAGATGATGTATTGCAGTGACAGAGGTGGGAGAGTGAGTGAGCTTTTCAAAAGAACTTTGTATTAGTGTCTTCATATACACACGCAAAACGTTATGTATGTAAACGTCAACATTAGGTTACGTGAAGCGATAGGAATTCAGGATTACGCAATGCGGATGCTAAGGGAGAGTATCTCCTGTTAAACATGCGCAAAGCTTCATTTGGAAACAAATGTTTTCCTAAGCCAGTATTCTGAGAATTAAATCTTTCCCTTCAATTTTTACTACCTTCAGATCATGGATTTATTTTCAGTTTTGTTTTAGTGTTTTTTATTAAGATATTCTTAATGATTTTGATAGATTGTTTTAAGATAATGGTATGTGTGACATAGTGACAGGTTTATCATGCACCATACAGGCATTGCCCAGATGTGCCTATTTGGTGGTATTTTGCCCTATTTGCTTATTACTTTTCATTGTGTCTAGATATGCATCTTTATGTGTCTGTTTCTGGTCAGTTACATATACTGTACTGTTTAATCTTTGAACACCTACATTATCCTAAAATAAAATTATATTCTCAGGTAGCCACGATACAGTGCTCATCTGGACACTGGTTGAAACAATATGTTCAGCTGTTTTTTGCTCCTTTTCTTGGACAGGATCCAGCCCAGGGTCAGGTGTTGCCTTGTTGTGCTTATGTCTAACAGCAAGCACATTGCCACCAGCGAATAGAATTTTGAAGAAATGCACCTTTTAGGAGATTAGTGTGTGTGTGCCTCATTTTTTTCACTGCTGTTTGAAGGAGTGAGTGGCTTCCATCGGATCACATTTAATTTCTGAAGTTATGGTACATTAGCCAAATGTTCATGGAATTGACAAGACAGCAGAGATGCACTTTGTGGCTTTATTCTTTTTCTTAAAAAAATCATTTTGATTTTTATCAGAAAGGCAGATTTACTGAGAAAGAAGGATCTTCCATCTGCTGGTTTACTCCCCAAATGGCTGCAGTGGCCGGAGCGTGTGTGTTCTGAAGCCAGGAGCCAGGAACTTCTTCTGCGTCTCTCACATGGGTTCATGATCCCAAGTCATGTTCCATGCCATACTCCTTTCCCAGGCCACAGCAGGGGGCTGGATGGGAAGTGGAGCAGCTGGGACACGAACCAGTGCCCAAATGGGATCCTGGGTGTGCAAGGCAAGGATTTAGCTGCCAAGCCACCGTGTATTGCCTGTGACTTAGCTCTTTACACTAGTGTCAGAGACACACTCTGTGACTTTGTGTCAGACCACACAAAATGATATTGCAGGGGAAAAGAGGTAGTTATTTTCCAGAAGATATTCATAGTCAGACATCTTTTTGGAGCTATTTTCAACAACCTGAGGAATTTTCTGAAGGAGTTAATCATGAAATTCTCTCATGATGGCAAATGATTACATTTGGAAATTCCAATGAAAATCATATTGGAATCTTTCCAAGTCAAATTTCATTGATATAGTATATGTAAAGTAACAATAGAATACCTAATGCTACTCATTCATACCTGGAACTCTTTTTCCTTCTTATGCTATTTCATTTTATCCTACAGAAACATGTTTCCTATAGTACATTTCTTCTCCCTACTTATTTTCTAGATTTCTTTCATCTGAAAATAGTTGCATTGAGTGGTATTTTTGCTGAATCTAGAAAAAATATTTAATTGATATTTTCCCCTCGACACTTTACATATATATTCCATTATCCGCGCCGGGCCCCCCATTATCTTTTGTTGACCTTGCCTTCTGGTGACTCATCTGTTCCTCCATTGATCATCGGTATGTGTCTTTGCATCTTCCTGTCCCTGCTTTTGGTATTTTTTCTGTTTCTCAGGTGGAGTAGTTTGATAATATTGTGTCAAAACATGGCTTTCATGAATTGCATTCTGTTTTTCTTAAACTCTTGCATTTGTAACTTTTTGTGTAGGCCATATCGAGGGAAATTCCACTGTTACCTCAAATGCCTCCCAACCCCTTTTCTTTACTTTTCTCCCATCCTGAGATTCTAATTACATGGACAGTATGTTTCTTTTTTATTCTTTTTTTTTTAAAGGATTTTTTTTTTGTATTGCAAAGTTAGAAATATAGAGAGGAGGAGAGACAGAGAGGAAGGTTTTCTGTCCAATGATTCACTCCCCAAGTGCCCGCTACAACTGGAGCTGAGCTGATCCAAAGCCAGGAGCCCAGTGCCTCTTCTCGGTCTCCCACACGGGTGCAGGGTCCCAAAGCTTTGGGCTGTCTTCGACTGTTTTCCCAGGCCACAGGCAGGAAGCTGGTTGGGAAGTGGGGCTGCTGGGATTAGAACTGGTTCCCATATGGGATCCTGGTGCATTCGAGGTGAAGACTTTAGCTGCTAGACCACCACACTGGGCCCTCTTGGAGATCTTGATTGGACCACTGAACTTGAAATTTTGATCTTAGGGAAAATCACAGGACTTGTGGACTGACCTTAGAAAGCACGTGTCAGAACTGGGTCCCCTCAGTTGCTGATGCCTGTACTGTGGACTGCATTTCCTGAGGTACATAGGGGATATGGTGGCCAGCTCATTGAGAGATGCTGAGTACCATGTCAGAGCATGGAGGAAAGAACAGATTGGACAACTCTCCTGGTTAAGCTTTGACAGCATGTATCTGGGCAAGTAGATATATTAAGGTGGACTGTGTCGAACAATGAGGCTTGGAAAGACTTTCTCAACCTTGGAGCGATGAAACTAACTGCTTCTCAGAACTATCAAAAACACTTCAGCAAGACACTTGAAAAACATTCTTCTCTGCATCGGGGATCCTCGGATGACATCACGTGGCTGCCCCCATCCCTGATGTGCTTTGGCTGCTGGGAGCAGTCCTGTTTCCCTTCCTTCCCCCTGCCCCCATACAGGAGATAAAACCGGAAGCACCACTTTGCCCCTTGCCTCAACCCTCCTCACCTTAAGCAGTGGTCCACATGGGCACACATCCTTCCCTACTGCGTCATCAACATCAAATCTAAAATAATGAAAACAAAGAGACTGCTTGGGACTTGTTGAGGAATCTTCAAATTTGCCATCTTCCATTTGTCATCACACATGTTTCTTTTTACCTGACGCTTAAATTGTTCTGTAAGATATTTTCCTTGACTTAGAGTTTCATTTTTGTGTATTTACTGTTTCTGTACTGGGATAGCCTGTGCATTTAAATATTTTCAGCGCATTTGCCTGCTAATCTGAGAGCATAATACTAACAGCTAAAACTTGTCTAATGTCATAATCTCATAGAAAATCTCAAAAGACTGTCATCACCTCTTGAAAATCTTGTCTCATTCCCCTGGGTTATCAATTCTCAAGTCACACCCCATATGGAGAAGAAATAAGACATTTTTCTTAATTATTACCTAGGTATAGTGAAGCTACTTGCTTAGGAACAGATCTAGCCGTGGATGATCTGCCAATTAAGAGTTCTATGTGCTTTCTGTACTTGGATGTCCACTTACTTCTCCATTCAATGTAAATTCCTGTGATTATTTTCCTGAACAGGCCTTCTAATGCATTCTCTGTACACATGTTCCTAAGATCTGTATGTTCTGTCACCATGTGGTAGCCTTGCATGCACTGGGGTCCCATGTGGGTATTGGTTCATATCCCAGCTGCTCCATTTCTCATCCAGCTCCCTGTTTGTGGCCTGATAAAGGATGACCCAAAGCCTCGGGACCCTTTACCTGCACAAGAGACCCAGAAGGAGCTCCTGGCACCTGGCTTTGGATCACTCAGCTCTGGCCTTTACAGCCGATTGGGGAATGATGCAGTAGATGGAATCACTTTCTATATATCTTTTTTCTTAACAAAAAAGGAAATAAATCTTAAGGAAAGGAGGCAATCTGAAGTTAAGAACCGAGTGTAACAGGGGAGGGAGAGGGCCCAGCCCTTGCTTGCAGAACAATCCCCTCTATGAAGCAAAGGACTTTGGGTGCTGAGAATCAGTCCCTGGGCCCTGCCTGATTTTCTGTTCTTTCTCTTTGGACTTATGTTATACTTTCTGCACCGCATTAAAGTATTTACTACACATTAAAGATTCTTTTTCCTGGCTTTGGGTTATGCGAAGTCACCCAAATAAATGATCAGTCGGCATTGCTACTTTATATGCATTTTACTTGGATATTCCTCAGACTTCCTTGGAAAGCTGGCTTGCAATTTCATAATTATGTGATATGCTGAAAGATTTATATCACTAGTTCCTGTTCTCTTTTTCTGTTTTACAGTCTGGAATTGTAACCGTTAACAGTTTAGACACGGCCAAAGATGTTATTCGCATGGTATTACCAGTACTGGGATTAACTGTAAGTAATCTGAAAGATACTTTCAGCTAAATAATTTTGCTTTTTCAGAGAAGCTTATTTTCGTATTGCCTCTGACACATAGACACACATGTACAGTTTGTATGTTTGTATAATATTCTTGCGTGTCTAAAAAACCGACTGCATATACGATGAATGTTATCGCTAGAAACATGCACACGTGGGATAGGAAGCGTTAGAGATAGAATTCTCTATGGATGGACATCACTCTTGTATTTTTATTTTAAATTTTGCATGAGCTGAAAGGTGTAGCGTAATAAAAGATAATGCATTTTATGAATAATGAAGGCTATCAGAAAGATGATAAATGATCACGCCACTTGAATCATTTTAAGTTGCTCCCTCTTGAAATGAATTGAAATCGCTGAATAAAAACGTGATGTAGTTGTGCTGGTTTCAGTTGGCATTTCTAGAATCGCATAGATAATCCTGTTCGTCATGTGACCTGGTCTCAGGCTAAGAATCCTCACTTCTACCCTCTTCATTGTCATCTAGATACTTGCCTGCTCTTTTTGGATGGCTGAGTTTAGGATGTTATGCAGGTATTACTTTGTTTAGACACATTCTTGGTGTGTGGACAAGGACATGGAAAGGAAATCATACTATTCTCCAAGCAATCTGCTGATGGAGGGAAAAATGATCAGGAATAGACTTACCTTCATTAGTGTATTGGCATAAATGTGTTAAGGAATTTAACTTGGTTGGACAGAATTGTAATAGCTCAGATCCATGACTTTATCAAAAGTCATATGACATGTATCTGGGGCACAACCTTGGGGTCTCTGAGAGGGCCAGGTGTCAATTTTGTTAACAGCTATGGCCACACATTCCAATGGATCAAATGGCATCACCACTGATCCCAATTGTTTTCTTCTTTGGCAATGCAAAATTGCTCAGGAACTCTGTCTTTAAGTGTCCTCTCATGAAGACATGCTTTGATGCCTAGTTCTTTTTTTTTTTTTGTCTCCAAGGGCTCAGAAAAGGATTACCAACTGTGGGTACATGGTGGAAAGAACGTGCCTCCCTTCCCACTCATGGGTAAGTGTCTGGGAAAATCAAAGTAATTAACTGGTTCAAAATTGTACTTTAAAAGCTGTGTATTGATGGTTTCTCCTTAAGATTATACCCCAAGAGCCTCTTGCAATCATCATCCACACATTTAAAACAGATTTACCACATGCTTACTGCATGGCAGATCCAGGCACCTGTTCTCTGGCTTCATTCATCAATTTTCATTATAGATGGAGCAGAAAGGAAGTTTATGCTCTGCATCCTGACATCATAGGTATAGACAATGGTAAAATGTCCAGCGTATCTGTCAAGATATCTTTAACACTTTCAAAGGGAGTCATTCCTTTATTGGGAGTAGTGATGCGTACGACAATGTATCCACTTCTTGGTGTGCTACCCTTTATTGTGCAATTCATCTATGAGACCATGTGTATGCAGACACATAAAATATGTGTGTACCCATGCATACTCTCATTGTGATATATGTATGCATGCACACACATTCAGGTGCATATGTAAATACATAGGCATCTGTATATGAATACATATTTGCACATGCATGTGCTCCTACAATATAAATGCATATTTATGTATATGCATGTATAATGTCCTATACCCCTCCATATATATGTATATATTCACACACATGGGTATACAAATAGGCATATATATATTAAAACTACACATGTATTAAAACTCCATCTGTATTTTTAAGTCTAATAAAAATGATTTTGCATGCACTGTGTAAAAACACTTGGTAGGATAGCTCTTGGTAGGATACCCCTCCCTCTGTCAGCTGTGAAGACCACCAGAGAGGGCCACCGTGGGGAGGAAGTGTAGCAGCAAACCATGGCTGCAATGCTGTTGAATATGCTGGATATGGATCTGAAACTTAGAAAAGGAGTCTTTCACCATGAGCTGACATCTTGGGAGAAAGTGTTATCACAAGATGTATAACCCAGTTATTAATGTTTGCTCATATATTTGCACAAAGCAGTCTATGTAATTAGAAAGTATGGAAAGTGATGGCTTGTTGAAAATGATTTTCACCTTCAACACATGAGTTGCAAAATCTCATTGGCCTCAACACGGGCATTAGAAGGCCTTCTATGTTTTCAATGAACATTGCAGAAGTCATCACCATGCAGTGTACTGAAGTATCTGTGCTTTCTCAACTAGGTAATGGGTTTCCATTTCCTTTTCTCTTAACTTTGGGAACATCCTCTGCTTAGGTAGCCCCTTTATGCAGAGTCTTTCCAAAGAGATTGCACGCAATCACTCAGAGGATGTAGTTTTCTTTCTTGCACAAGAGCCAGGAGAGCCCGAGTTGCCGTTAGTGCAGTGTCCACACTGACAGTTGATGTGTTTGATTATACTTACCACTATCAGCCTGATGGATATTGAGATTCTTCTCTACCTAGGTCACGAGCACCCGTATGTTATTCAAGAACATTACCATGAGTTTTCACCCGATCAGTGCACACCGGAGAAGTCCACCTCTCCTTCCAGCGTTCGGCAGTCCATTCCAAAGATCTTAATGTATAGACAATTGCAGTTTGTCTTGAAATGCCGTGACAAACCAAGATCCCAGCTTAGGGGTGGTGAGTGCTTTTGTTAGCAGCTATGGCCTGACCTTGGTACATATCTGCATTCCTGAGAACAAATTCACAACACAGAGGTATTCTCTATGCGAGAGGATGAGCATGTAGAGACAGGGACCCAACACCTGCTGAGGTTCAATGATTTGAAGGCAGAATGATTTAAGTACATTCTACAAGCAAGTGTTGGCTTATGGTGTTACACTTACACAATGCAACCATGTGGGTAATAGGAACACCAGGTGGCACACAGTTGAAACTGTTTCTTTTTCTATTTTAAACAAAAATTTGAACATGGTAGCATGCAGGAGCAGGTGTCTGCATTTGAGGATGTATTTCTTTTTCTTCTTACCTCTTTTCAAAATGGTGGAACTATAAATGCTTGGTATTGGGTTGCTGTGTGATTTCATGCCCGTGTGGAGACGATTATCCCAGGAAGAATGACTATGGAGTCTGCATTGGGGGCAACAAGACTGCTGTCTAGGCCTACTTAGGCATCTTATTATGAAATGAAATAATTTTACCCAGGCATGTGGCAAATTAAGTAGCACGTTACATTACTCAGTACAGTGAGGGGTAGATAACATCGTGCTGTGCAAGTGGCAAGTGGAGTGAACCTGAAGGTTCAAGGTCCGAGGATCTAGGCTGATGAAGGGACATATCTTAGAACTCATTTGGCTTCCTCTGTGATTCAGTAGCATAAGGACTGCATACCAATTTTATCTGATGGTGATGCATTCAGGAGCCCAGAAATGCCAGAGAATAGCTGGTGAAAGATACTTGGTGAAATGTGACTCACCTATGTCACAGCATCTTGGCTCCTCTGAAGCCTTTTTCAATATTAAATATAAGCGGGTCACTTCAGGAAACCATTTAGGTGCCTCACGACCAAAACATGAATATCTGAGTGGTAGACATTCAAAACTCATGTTTTCTTCATGATCTTCTTGTCTGTGGGAAGCTGTTTCAGTGGGCACTTGGTAGAGCTTGATAAGTCGTTAAAAATCTAGTCTGTGTAGCTTGGCACTCATAAAGAGATGTGTGTAGAGGATGAAATCAGACCAGCCCAGGAATCTTTGCAGCCCTGTAGGGTGAGGGAGGCAGAGGATGGTTGAGGCAGGTCAGGCAGCCTGTGTCATGGCAGCCCTGTAGGGTGAGGGAGGCAGAGGATGGTTGAGGCAGGTCAGGCAGCCTGTGTCATGGCAGCCCTGTAGGGTGAGGGAGGCAGAGGATGGTTGAGGCAGGTCAGGCAGCCTGTGTCATGGCACAGATCTCTCTGAATAGAGTGAATTCATAGCGTTTCTTTACTCCAAGAACCAACCAGGAAATCTCAGAAAAGGCAATGTAACATGAAAGTATATTATCAAACACCCTTGGTTTGAAACTCTACTATTAGGTTTTCTTTTTTTTTTTAAAGATTTATTTTTATTATTTTTTTTATTGGAAAGGCGGATATACAGAGAGGAGAGACAGAGAGGAAGATCTTCCGTCTGATGTACTATTAGGTTTTCAAATGAGAGTTGACTCCTGAACCCACTGAGTAAGCAGGATACATATACCGCAAAGGCAAAAGTGATCTGAGAAGTATCACTTTCAAGAAGAATGAAACCTGAAAAGCTTCCTCAAGTATCTATCTTTACCATTCAATAGATTGTTTGATTAAGGGGCTGGAATACAGACACACACACACACACACAGAGCCTTGATTGTACCAGGATTAGTGTCAGTGCTGGGGTCAGGGCAGGAGTCTGAGATCTTATCCATGTCACCCTTATGAGAGGTGGGATTGGAAGTAGATTGTAGGAACTTACTCAATGTTGCGCTTGAAAGAAACAGGAATTCAATTGTATTAGCCAGGGCCTGCATTTGTAAGAAGTTAGAACTGGAACCCTGTGAAGGCATCAGATGAGGTTCATCTGATATGGGTCTTAGGCATCTCAAGCAGTAGGCTAAACACTGGCTCCCAACTACCACCTTACAGGAAATTTGCAGGAAAACACATTAATGCCACAGGGATACAACTAGCTAATTTTGGATGAGAGGAACTTGTACATGCAAATGCCTCTGTTTTTCTCTTTTCTAATTCAGACAAAAAAACATGTATCCAATGGGAAACGTAGAAAGAGAATCTGTCATTGACAGTGTACCTCTAATCATTTCACTTTCTCCTCAGGATTCCTCAGAAGCTGCCTGTCATGCTGGCGGGCCACAACAGTCCAGAATGATCCTCCACAGGACACCGATTCTTCCGTGGAGTTGAATGTGCCTCAAATGGATGACCTTGCAAGAACAATTTTGGTAGGTGTCATTGTGCTCTCCTGAAGGCCTCCTGAGCACTGACAATCCTGAGGTCTTATGTGTCCTCATCCAAATCGATTTCAAGTGGAGCAAGTCTTTGTCAACCACTGGCTTTGGCTGACAGGCTCTCTTCTTCTGACCTCAAATACAAGCACAATCCAATTAGGCAATGCAGCCTTCCTTGAAACACAACAGGAAAAAATGATAATCTATCTACTTCACTGGTTGCCGCAATGTCATCCAGTAGCCTGCTCACCAAAGCCAAATTCCCTGTGAGTTTCCATCTACACTGCATCTTCTAACCTCTTTCTTGAAATGTTCCTCCATTCCTTTGTCTAGATGACTCAGACTTCTCCCGCGACCTCATTCACATGAGCCTGATTTGTATTTCAGATTCCTCAAAGCATTATCCTGCAGTGTATTTATACTGCCATCGTGAGAAAATGTATCAAATAAAATCCACGGGACTTGGCGCATGTTCGTTCCAACGGGGATTTTTACTAGCCGGAAAGCACATTGGCTGATTGTCTATTTGCTTGCACTCTCCTGGATACAGAGAGTAGCGTCCTGAGTGGGAAGGACTTTATCAGTTTCGGTACATGCTAGATGTTACCCTAGGCCTTGCACCATATACAAGTTCATGGAGTTCCTAGAGTCTTCATTAAGATTATGTCCTTAATGGATAAAAGGAAAGCATTAGTAAGGTAACATATTATGTCCAAGGTCACACGCGAAATAAGGATCCTAATAAATGACAAATCCCCATGGTGGTTTGACTGTGAAGTAGAAGGAAGTGAACTCTAGTAGGATGGGCACACAAAGAAGCCATCTTGCCATGTGTGGACATTCATCCTGTTTTTTTTTTTTTTAAGGATTAATTTTTATTCCAGGAGCTTCTTCCAGGTCTCCCGTGTGGGTGCAGGGTCCCAAGGGCTGTCCTTTGGGCTGTTCTTGACTGCTTTCCAAAGCCACAAACAGGGAGGTGAATGGGTAGCGAGGTTGCCGAGATGAGAACTGGTGCCCATATGGGATCCTGGCGTGTGCAAGGTGAGGACTTTAGCCGCTATGCTACTGTGCTGGGCCCTCCCTGGTTTTAAATGAGTGTAGGCAACTATAGGAAGCAGCAGTGCAGCCCATAGTCATTGAAAGAAAGTTGAGTTGATGGCAACAAGTGTGGCAATAATGTTTTCCTAGTTGAGAAACAATGAGAAACAATGAAAATGGCAGTGTAAATAGTAGAGATAAAGCTGTTAAAAGCTTGAAAAATGTTTTGTTTTTACAGTTTTGTTTCCTGAATTGGAAAATAAGGTTAAAATCAGCAGTCAAAAACCATTAGGTGTATGGGCATAGATTAGATGGGTGATTGGAAAATATATTTAGAGCCACTGAGACAAATTTCCTTTCTTTCCATCCATCAGCTCTTGCAATTCACATCCTGTGTCTGTTCTTCTCTACAGGTGTAGTTCATCGTCTGGGCTGGTGGTTATGAAATGTCCTATAATTTGCTGTCTTTTTTCTTTGACACAGGAGATGCTTCATGTTTTAAAGGAAAAGGGGCCACAGACACAGAATATTTTCTATAAGATCGACAATATAAAATCGTTTCTGTCTCTGAAGGAAAGAGTTCCACTTGGAAGAGAATTTGACTGGACTAATGAATCTCCACTCGTCGTGGCCGCTTTGTTAAAGGTAGGGAGAGATGTGTTATCATCCATGCATAGTAAGGAAGCTGTGTGAAGGGTTTCATTTGTCATGGCAGTTCAAGAACAGTGATTGGCCCGATTGACTAAGCATCCAAGAAATCGAAGAACGCATCAGAAATTCCAAACTGTAGGTCGCTGCTTCCTTCATTGGACAGACTCTGCATGTTAGGCTTCCCTAGTTTTCAAAACTTACTCCTGCTGTTTGCATATGCACACTATGCAAAATAATGCTACCATAGTTTCTAATACAAAAGGGTCTTCCAAATCCTCATTATTCCTATGGAAGTTTGGCCACAACAATCCTTCTGTATTTGCTGAAATTGATAGCACTTTGCTCATGACATCAGACTTTTCCAAACACACCTCATTTGAAGCTGTTGAATACCATTCCAGGGGTTTTCTACATTACACAAACATCTATCATAAAATGAATTAAAATACACCTAGATGCAAAGACAAGGTGCCTTGATTTCACCGTCACTTCTTCCCAGTCTCATGCCCTTTCCTTAACAGGTGCTTAAGAAGGACTGCTTAGAGCTGCCTCAATGCCAGCCCCCATTGGTATCTTATGTTCATTCTTACCGTACTTAAGCCAAGTACTCATAGTTGCGTTTGCATAGTAGCCAGTCCTGATCACAAAGTTTAGATCAAAAGATTGTGAAAGTGCCTACAACAGACGAAGCAAGGTTAGAATTCTAAAAATGTTGAGTGCTGTGGAATGTTGGGGCTTGGGATGCTGTCATTCCACATCAGAGCACCAGCTGGAGCCCTGCTGTGTTTTGGGTGGAGCATCCTGTTAGTGCCTCTCAGAAGTCAGAAGAACATAGCTAAGGTACTGGTCTGCTTGCCAGCCATGTGGGAGACAAGAATAAAGCTCTTAGCTTCTGGCATCAGACTAGGCCTGACCTTAATACTTTGATATTATCCTTATTTGTCTATGCATGATCTCTCTCTGTCTGTCTTTCTCTCCTTTCCTTCTCTCTTTATTTTTTATTTTTTATTTTTTTTCTTTCCTTCTCTCTTAGTGCATCTTTATGTCCCTGCCTTCCCCCACTCTTTGTGTTTATTATATTTGTGTGTCTCCCTCTCTCTGCATCTGACGATTTTGTGGGTGATGTGTGGGTCCCACCCTGTGGAAATACAGGTGCTGCTGGTTAGCTCCAGAGTTGGGGTGGTTATGGGCTGAACTAGGTGTGACCATGGAACCTACCATCACTCATGGGTAAAGGAACTGATGACAGTCTTGGCAGGTCAAGGCAGCAGCATCCGATTGTGCATCCTAAAACAGGGTGTCTGGTGGGCTGGGCTGCAACATTCACTAGCTCATACAGGCCACAGTGGAAGGGTAGACTCTGCCAGGCACTGGCCTAACATCCACTGGCATGTATGAGATCTGGGTCTGGGAGGGGGTCAAGTGGAGGAACTTGAGAAACTCCCCTATTGGGTCACAGCTCTTCCTGATGATCACATGGTCCAAGACACAGACATGCTAGGCCATGGCATCTAAGGCAAAGGCCTCACTTGTGTGAGGGGCTATGCCTAGCTGGGTCAGAGCAACCATTGGCATACCATGTAATCTATGAATGGGAATAGGCCTGTTTAGGGGCTAAGAGGATACCGTCACCGGGTTGCAGTTCCCACTGGTGAGTGTGGGGGCCAGAGTGGGGGCTATGTTCTGGTCTGGGTATGGCTGCAGCGTCTCTTGGCACAAGTGTGGCCTGGGGCTGGGCGTACCAAGTCGGGTTAGACTCCAGCACCACCTGGTGCTCGTGAGAACCAGGGTAGGTGTATGATGGACTGGGCTAGGTCTCTGCCTTTACTGAGCCAAGTGTGAGCAGTGTCTGGGTATGGCCGAACCTTGGCTGGGCTGTAACATCCAACAGTAAGAACGGGAATGGGTTGAAGGCCAGTCAGGAAAGGCCACTGTTATTGCTAGGGCAGGAGGTGGACTAAGTAGGGCTGACCCATGGACCCACCAGTGTGCGCAAGATCTGGCACTGGGAGAGGTTCTGAGGAGGAGCTTGGAAAGCTCCTTTGTCAGGTCACAGTCCCTGCAGGTGAGCACAAGAACCAAGATAGGGAGTGGCCCAGACCAGAGCAGGGAAAGGTACCCACCGACATACATTTGGCATAGATCAGGGGACACAAGGCTGAACCAGTTCACATCACCCACTGGCAAATCCGAGCACCAGAACAGAGTGTGGATCAGGCCAGGTTTGGTTGCAACATATAGCAATACACATTACTGCTGGGACTGGTGCCTGCTGGGCTGGGATAGGCTATAACCCCCACCAGCATCAGCTGGAATTGGAGGTAGGTTGGGGCAGGATAGGCTTCAGCACTCACTGGCAAATGCTGAAGCGAGGGGCACCATACCAGACTGTGCTCAGCATCCAACCAGCACAAATGAGAACCAGGGAGGGAGGGGGCAAAGCTGGTAGGGGGAATGTGGAGGGTTCCCCTGCTGGACTACCACTCCACTGGAGAGCGTGAGTTGGGATGGGGGTAGACCAGACCAGGCAAAGGTACAACACTTGTAGGCCTAATGTGAGCTAGATCAGAGAAAAGTCAGGCTGAGCTGACTGTTCTTACTGATGCAGGCATAAGTTAGAGTGGGTGACGGTTGGTTGGGCTTTGCCACAGCATCAGCTGTCAGAGGCTGGCACTGGGGGCTAATTCTGTCAAGTTAAACTGCAGAACCATGTGGAGAGTGTATGTTTCAGGAGTGGAAGTGGCCCAGTAGGGAAATACTGGGAGTTACCACTCCGTGCTGGAGAGCATGAAAACCAGGACTGGGGCAGGGGTGGCTAGACAGAATGGCACCTACCAGTATGTGTGTGGGCTGGTTGGGTTGAACTAGGTGTCAGTGCCTATTGACATGTAGGAGCGCTGAATGGGATGTGGGACAGACTGGACAAGTCAGTGGTACATACTGGCAAGCAAGGGAACCAGGGTAGGGGGCAGGCCTGGTGGGGATTACTGGGAGTCTCCTCGACTAGGCTGCAGCTCCCACTGGTTTGCATGAGTGCTGAGTGTAAAGTGGACAGAATCAGGCTTGACCACCCGTTGGTTCATGTGGGAGACAGGGCTGGAAACAGAACTGACCCAGCAGTTGCAACCACCAGCATATGTATAAGCTCATCGGGGCGATGGACTGTGCCAGACCCTGTATTGGCATTCACACACAAGAATCAGGTCTGGGATCACTTCAGACAAACATTCTTTGGGGGTTCCTCCAACTGAACTGCTGATCTCAGAACCCCAATCATGAAGAGAATTGCAGGTTCCATGGTCTGACCATGGAGTGCAAGTGTCAAAGCTGAGCCTCCTTGGAGTCTCAGGAACAGTAGACAGCATATCCAGGTGCAAATGGAGGATATGGCAGTCTATTGGAACCTGCAGAGGACACCTGGTACCACAAAAGGATGGAGGACAGAACAAATTCATCATCTGCCCCAGCACACATTGGCAGTGAAAATCTGGGCAAACAGAGACTCTAACGTGGGCTATATCGCTTCTCAGCCTTTTGGCTAAAATCAAGTGTAAGGTGGGCTGTGTCAGCCAGTGGATTCTGGAGAGATTACATTGTGCTTGGAAAGGCGAGATTGGCAGCAATTCAGAACTGTTGAACTATCAAAACTACTTGAGCGGTGCCCTTGGAGCATGCTTCATGTTGGGGACCCTGGGATGGGGTGGGAGGCTGGGTGGGGCGTCTCCATTTATCTCCCTCCTTACCCCAGATACACACATAAAATGTGGAAACAATGGTCTTACCCACTCTCCTGTAACTCTTGACCCTTTGTGCTCGAATCAACTATTAATGATTATTAAAATAAAAGAATAAAAAAAAAGTTTATAAAAACTCAAACGAGAGGACAGCATTGACACTTGGTGCAGCCGTCACCTGCAGTATCAGCATTCTGTGTGGGGAATGGTTCAAATTCTCATTGTTTTACTTGACGTTCATCTTCCTGTTCACCTGGGGAATCAATGGAAGACAGCCCTAGTTAGAGGGCTTGTGCACCCATGTGGGAGACTCAGATGAATTTCCTGTATCCCGGCTTTGACCTGGCCCATTCTTGGATATTACTGCCATTTGGGGAGCAAACCAGCAGATGGAAAGTCTTTCCCCTTCTGTCTGTAATTTTCCATTTCAAATTAATAATTTTTTTCTAAGAAAGCATAAAAGATATAAAATGTACATTTATCTTAAAAGTGTACAATGAAATCACAATTATTATGGGTTTCTATAGGCAGATATAATGGAACAAAGGCCAAATTGAATTGTTGGTAATTTTAGCAACTGTGAAACCAAAATCTGCTACTTAATAATTACACAAACTGGGGCTGGGGAAATCCCAGCACCTATGAAAAAATGTCATAAAATGAAGTAATTTTTAAAAATTTACACAAACCCTTTAAATTTGGGAAATTTATTATCCTAGCTTTTTGTCTTAACCTCCGCATGATGACCTGTGATAAGAAGCAACAGTTCTGTAATGATCTATAAACTACCAGTAGTTTGCTGAAATCATGACAATATATTCTAGATAGGGTAATCACAAGTTTGCACTGTCCACTCTGAGGAACACACATGAAACTGATGCTACATTTTTTTTTTTTTTAAGATGTGGCGTTAAGCCTTCTGCAAGTGTTATAGTGTGACTCTGGGTAAATACAGTATGACTCGCCTGGAGAGTTGGTTCAGACCACAAATCAGTGCAAGCACCCAACTGAATTTGCCCTTGCACAACCTAGAAGCAGAGGTGTAGTTGCAAATATCATTTCTGTGTTCTCCTTGGGTCAGTGTGGTTTTTGAACACCCCATTAGCTCGGAAGCCCAGGCAAGTCAGAGAGGCTACCACATTCATGAAAATGCAGTGCTCAACAGACCCAGAAATTCCCAAGTCATCCCATGTTCCTATGGTTATTCAGAGATGGTGAGTCCCTTCCTGCACACACTGGGGGTACTTGGGAAGCAACAAAAGATGGCCCAAGTACTCAGGTCCGTGTGACTCATGTGGCAGAGCTCCTGGCTCCTGGCTTCACATGGCCCTGTTTTGGCCTGGCCGGTGTGGCTACATGCAGAATAAAGCAGTGTATGGGAGGTCTCTCATTCTATCAGTCTCTGTCTCTCCCTGTCACTTCATCTTTCAAATATTGATTTTTTTTTCATGTTTCAAATAAATTAATACACATACAAGAGCACAAATGCATTTGTGTATGCATGGACACACATGCACATACACATGAAGATCGTTATTGTATGACTGTTCACTCCCCAGCTGACCATCATGTACTGGGCTTGACTGGGTTGGGCCAAGCTGAAGCTTGGAAAAGGGCACTCCATCTAAGTCTCTGATGTGAGTGTCAGGGTTCTAAGCAATTGGGCAATTAATATATACAGCATTCTCACACACATTAGTAAGGAGCTGGAACAGAAGCGGAGCACCCAGAAATTGAAATGACCTTCTGATTTGGACTGCTGAGTTTCCTGGCAACAGGTTAACACACTGCTGTAGTTATGCCCCAAAGAACATGTAGACAATAAAGGACTTTGTCCTCCCTCCCAGAACTTTCTAGAATCTGATTTCACATGTATCATTTTAGAAGAAATCCAAGCACCCATTTCTGGATGTACACATTGGTGTAAATGGCAAGCTAAGATTTAGAGAGGTCACAGTTGGAATTTCTAGAAAATTGTGATTAAAATGAATGTTACAATGAAATGCTACTTGTACACTTCCTCCAAACCATATTTGTCAACAAACGTTTATGATTCTTTTTTCATCTCCTCAAGGATTGTCTTCGACTGATCCCCAGTACTATTTTTACGAAACAACTATACTGTAAATGGTTTAGTATTATTGACAAAGAGGATGAAGAGAAAGCCACGGAAATCAAGAGGTGATTATATAATTAACATTGACTTCTGATGTGTCTCAAAATACAGCCAACACAGTTTGAGAGAAATAGTAGTTTTTGCTTTCAAGTTTTAACCACTACCAGAATGTGCACTTTGAAAGGGGCTCACATAATCGCATACACAAAGAATTAGAAGATGGGTAGACTGTGCCACATTAACCCATTGAGTTTTTATTTCACATCACGCGGCAGTGCTGTGCAGACCTGGGAATTGTGTACATTATGAATATCACATTGGTGAGGAAGAATCTCACTGACCCCAGAGACTTGCTGCAAGAGCAGTTGGTCTTACTAACATTTTGCCAATATTCATTAGGTGGCTAACCTTGAATGTGATTTTTGCTTCATTGTTTTAGATTATTGCCTTGAGAGAGCATTCCTTCACTGCTACATTACAAAGTACAGTGTTTGCAATTCAAATGCTGTTGGGTTTCCTCAGTAACCTTGCCACCCATTCTGGAGTACAACCACCATTTTTGTACACTCTTGTAAATGTGCTATTAACAAAGTTATCTCAAGTGAAAACACATTGTGATTTTAACAACAACAACAAACCCTGTGCTATCATTAAGCCCCATTTCTCAATTTGTCTGTATTTTCATGAACTTAGTCACTGAAAGTCCACCCTTCTCCCTTTGTACCCACTACTTCAGCAAGAAAGTAACTGCATGTTTTTTGTGTATCTATTTAGGCTCTTAGAAAATCTGCCCTTATGTAATCTGGATATACTCAAGGAGTTGTGCTCATGTTTACATGAGATCTCTCAAAATGCCTCCATGAACATGATGAATGCATCAGAGTTAGCAGTTTCGATCACACCAAGCATATTTTACCTTTGGGAAGCAACATCAATAAACTCATCCCTGGAAATGGAATTACTTAAAAAGGTAATGATGTGACCCATTCCCATTGTGATCAGCCAAAGTTTACAAATGAAAGGTGCCATGTACCCTTCTTGAATGCCAGGGTCATTTATTCTGTATTAAGAGGAAACAGAAGTGTGGGCTGCTAAAACCTAGGGAAGAAACTTCCATACCGTTACAGAAGGAAATAGGGGTTTTCGTATCTGGCCAGTCCGAGGTAGACTTTCATCTCTTATCATTCAGGACCATGTAAGCCTGAACAGTTTCTTTATGAAGGCTTCCTTAGCTGAGCAGTGGCAGGAGTGTTGATAACAATCTCCTGAGGTCAACAGTGACACTGCCTGTTCAAGATGAGCACACACAATTCCCCGCTCAGTGTCCTTCCCCTTAGTGTTGCAGCTCATTCAGTAAGATGCTGTCTCGGTTTCATCTGTGCTACTGCAGTGTGAAAATGAGTCAGAGTTTCTAGAGCATCCTAACAGACCTAATGTCCCCAGTACGATCACAGCTCTTACGAAGCTGAAACAGATGTGATGACAGAGTGAAGCAGAGCAGTGTTTGTGGAGGGACTGCCGCTAAAGAAACAGACACTTGCTTTACAGTTGACTCCATTCATATCCAAGGATCTACAAAGAATTTCTGCTCCCCAGGCTTAATGTGACTCACTAGAGAATCACATTGCCCATGTTTTCTTCTAATTGGGTGCTTTGTAAATTCTGTGGAAGTACACATCATCAGTTCAAATATCATATTTTCTAAGACTAATTTTTATTGGAAAGACAAATTTATGGGAAGGAGAGACAGATGATCTATCTGCTGCATCACTCCCCAAATGGCTGCAATGGCTGGAGCTGAACTGATCCAAAACCTGGAGTCAGGACCCAGGAGCATCTTCCAGGTCTCCGATGCAGGTGCAGGGTCCCAAGGCATTCAACCATCCTACACACTGCTTTCTCTGGTCACAAACAGGGAGCTGGAGGGGAAGTAGAGCAGTCGGAACGTGGATAAATACGGGATCCAAGAGGTTGCAAGCTTAGGATTTAGGCACTTAATCATTGCACCTTCCTCTACATAGAATGACAGCTAAGCTATATTAACCATGAAAGTTAGTATCAAGGAAATACTAATAATTAATTTTAAAAGACCCAGGAAATGCTGCTTTTCAGATGGACAGTATTTTTAGCAAGCTACTGAATATTCTTAAAAATATAACTGTGGTGTAGGGATAAAACTGGTCCATATGCATTAATATCAACTGAATTTTCTTAGATTTGTATTTCATATTTTTGTAATGCCCAATACTCACAGAGAATGCACAACTTCTGTATTTGCCTGTTAAAAACAGCACCCTATTTTCATCCGTTTGTCTCACAGATTTCTATTGTAGAGTTTTTTATCAGAAACTATCCGCAGATATTTGAGGACCAGAATGACTCGTCACTAAGGAACAGTTCAGAACATTCTAGACTGAGCTTTGGGGATAGCATGGAATATATCAGTACATTGTGTACTTCAGAAGAAAGTTCAGGTGAGAAATCATTGAAGTGGCATCATGGGCAAACATTGAGGTTTTCTGAATAATTTCACTGCCTGTACTGTAAAGCAGACAAGGCTCCCAGGTGTAATGGGAAAAGCATAGACACTGGGAAGCAGCTAAGGACTAAACCTAAGAAATATGCTATCCCTACCCAGACTAGACCTGATCTGTTGTACAATGATGGCACAGATTAGGAGCTATTTGACAAAATTTGAGACAAAAGGGCAGATAAAATGATGTCCTTGACTTGCAGAGGCCAACTCTTATGCTGTTTGCAGAAGAATCAAGTGAGAAACTAAAGCTTATTTTTCCCTTCAGACAAGTAAATCAGTGACTTTCCAATTTTATACCTATATGGAATTATGTTCATAATAAACCAGAAATCTGATGTAAATTAACTTAATACATGTATTACATTAAATGTAGTATGGTTCCTATTTAGGGGGTTATTGATGAAATTGATGCATCAGTCAAAGTGTCCCGAGAAAGAAAGTGCAAAAGTATGTAATTTTTCAGACTGATTCAAACCCATGCACAAGCCATGAATAGCTCACTGATAGTAGGAACATGCCGTGTTCGAAGTCACTGAAGAGAACATTGGTGCTTGCGTTACGGTTCACTTACACTCTGCAAAATGTCCTTCCTGCTCAAATACACTGGAAGATAGGACTAAATTAGTACTGAACTCAACAGAAACCATCAAATGGAGACAAATATGAGTGGAAAATGTGCAAATTGAACAAAGGAAAATAAGAGATTTGCCTCCTAGTATAATTCCTGTACGTGAAAGTCAAAAATTTGACACTACGAAACCTATCACGTTAGCAAATTAGTAACTGTGATATCAGGGGGAATGAAAGACTGTGTGGCTGTTTTCCAAATGCATTGATTTGGAATACATGGAAATGTGTACAACTGAATAATTCTATTTTTTTTTTTTTTAGTATCAAGTGAAAACACAGATGTTCAATTTGCGGAATCTCAAGGTATGGAAAGAGCTACATTGAGTAATAAAAAGTGATGCCAAGGATAAGGTGTTGGGCAGTTATATCAAATTTTCACTAAAAAACAACTGAATAAAGGTTACCAGCAAAATCAATAGAAGAGGGGGAAAAGATATAGAAGGGAGAAAAACATTTACCTAAGAATCTATAATATTTAGACCCATGATGTATCGGGTGATTTCATGCCAAAAAAGTCGTTGATATATCCATAGCATGATAAGATGAACTTGATTTACAAAAAAGGAGATTGTGCATAGAAATGGAGAGTAGAGTGCACTAAAAGAGCGGTGAGCACAGCCAGCTGGCTGCTTCTCCTTGGCACAACCCCATGCCTTGAAACAGCCACTGCAGACCAAGTTCCCTGAGCCTGCCCACCCTTCCTCAGCAGCTCAGATGGCTCACAGCTGCCCAGAACAGAGGCACTTTCTGCCTGCAGGTTTGTCCCTGTGTCCTGGAGAGCAAGGCAGGGGACATCTGGTATTCTCCTGGGTGTCCACAGCCACAAACAACGGTGGCACTCCTTTACTGAGGAAAGTGAGAGCGAGCACGAGAGAGCTGTGGCCTGAATCCTGATGGCTTCCTTAGGAGACCATTCATGTCTCTGAAAGTTCCTTTGTGTCTACAAGACTTGTCCAATGTAGAGTGTATTCTGAATACCACCTTCCTGGCCCACATCTGGAGCCCTTCATGGCCTAGTGCTTCTCGAGTGCCTTTTGCAATGGGAGCTGCACACAAGCCAGAGCCAGGGACAGGAAGCAAGCTTGCACAGTGGGCAGACATGAAGCCATAGTGTGGTTCAGAGGCTGAAGCGATCTTGCCACCCATCACTCCTCACTCCTGGTTTGATTCTGCCTCAAGGTCTCCTTCTGGTGCCTCAGGGAGAACAGGGGTTCCACAGGAGCTGAGAGTGATGCCTGGGTGGACATCAGGCTGGTTCCTGCTTTCTGATGTGACTGGGAGACTGTTGTGTGTGCCTCTACTGAGATGAATTTGCTTTGTTCTTCCACAGAACCGAGCTTGCAGAGTCCCGGACCTGCTGCCGAACCACCATCGGGTATGGAGAAGGAGCTATGCTAGGTCCTGGGAGTCGATGGGAACATGAGCTTGGTACAAGCCCATATGGCTTCTGTCCTCGGTGCTCTGAGTTTCAGCAGGGTGGCAAGGGTGTGGTGACTTAGCATCTGTCTCATGGTCTGTCCCATCTGGAGACACAGCTACGTCATGTGAGACGTGACACCGAGTTGTCCTTAGCATCTTGAGATGGTCCGTGGCTCCATCTGCATGTCCCCACGCTCCTTTGCTAGTGTGCCATGCCAGGGAATTTCCAGTGGGACATGCTTCACAGCCCTCCTGCATGTCCACTTAGGAGATGGTGGGAGTAGGGGGTAAGAGACTGTGTGTGGCTGTGTCCAGATGTCAAGCGGGGCTGTGTTATGCAAATGCACTCAGGTGCCTTCTTGTTTTGCTTTTTCCTTAAACTTGGCCGGCCACACTGAACTTGATTTTTACATCGATGCAGGTGTGGACAAAGAGCTCGGGCTCCTCGCACAATGTGATGCCAAGCCCATGTTTGAGGGGCACTTATGTCATCCTTCCTCTGTGACTGAGACACGGAAGGGTGCCTGTCAGCCACCTGTCTGAGAAGTAGCTTTCATGTTCACTATCGTTGTGTGACGTGGCCTGGAAAGGCTCTTTCTCCTGATAAATGGGCTGAGTTCCATCAGTGCTTTGGGGAAGTGCAGCAGCTCTCCCAGGGCACATGGGTGACAGCCATGGGCCAACTGGAATGCCCTCAGAAAGAAGCTGCAAGGGCCTGTGTGTGCCCTCAGACGTGCTTGGACCCTGGTGCATCCTCTCCTGCTCCACGGTTGTGTGTCGTTGAGGCTGTGTGAGCACTCTGCTAGAAATCCATTTTTGTGGCCCATGGGCCTCTGGATCCTGGCACATTTTCTGGTGCGTGAGTTGACATGCGGGGGCCTCTGTGGTCGGGAGGTGCAGGGGAGGCAGGAGTAGGTTTCTGATCCTGGTCCAGAACATGGTAGTGGAGGGGAGGGGGTGTTCCTGGGCGGGAGGGGAGTGAGCCCAATGACAAGCAACAGCCCAGGACCCAGAACACCCTGGCTGGCCAGGGCCTGCAGTTGTCTCATAGCCTCTGCCTTCTGAGCTCCTCAGGAAGTCACCGAGCCACATGGCAGCTGCAGATGGCTTGGTTTCTCTTGCGAGGCTCAGGGTTATGGGGCAGGTTTGTTCCGTGGCCATGTTGGCCTTCTTGGTGCATCCTAGCATTGCTCTTGTGCCCAGGAAGAATGGCATTTTGACGGTCCTGTTCCCAGAAGCATGGGATTGAGGGGCCCACTTTGGTCAGGTTTCAGCTGCTAGGAAGCTTCTTAGGACACAGTCTCCAAGGCCCTGGCAATTCAGTGGATCTCGTGGGGTGTGTCTGAAACCAGCAAGGGTTATGTGTGCTTGTGCCCCGAAATGCCACCCAGGAGCCGATTTGGGGAAGGAGTCTGTGCGGCTCCCACATGACTCCGTGTATGCGTCGGATCCCATCCTGTGTGCCTGGTTTTGAGCTTCTCCCTGTGCTGAGATGAGCTTCCGAGAAGACTCGGAAGCATTGTGGGTGTCTGAGATGGGCAGGGCAAGTCTCCCCTGTTGCTTGTGATTGTGAGACGAGTCCATCTCCTGCAGCATGACCAGACAGTTTGGGCTTGTGTGCTTTCGCGTGTTGATCCCTGTTTGTGAATGTGAGCCCATGCTGACCAGTGGGGCTGGATCACATCCTACCCGCTGGGGGTGAATGGGGCTAGGTTGCACCTGCAAAGGGGCCCACCTGCATCAGGGCTCATCTCTCTCCTGAGGGACTGGAGGGAGCGGTGAGCACAGCCAGCTGGCTGCTTCTCCTTGGCACAACCCCATGCCTTGAAACAGCCACTGCAGACCAAGTTCCCTGAGCCTGCCCACCCTTCCTCAGCAGCTCAGATGGCTCACAGCTGCCCAGAACAGAGGCACTTTCTGCCTGCAGGTTTGTCCCTGTGTCCTGGAGAGCAAGGCAGGGGACATCTGGTATTCTCCTGGGTGTCCACAGCCACAAACAACGGTGGCACTCCTTTACTGAGGAAAGTGAGAGCGAGCACGAGAGAGCTGTGGCCTGAATCCTGATGGCTTCCTTAGGAGACCATTCATGTCTCTGAAAGTTCCTTTGTGTCTACAAGACTTGTCCAATGTAGAGTGTATTCTGAATACCACCTTCCTGGCCCACATCTGGAGCCCTTCATGGCCTAGTGCTTCTCGAGTGCCTTTTGCAATGGGAGCTGCACACAAGCCAGAGCCAGGGACAGGAAGCAAGCTTGCACAGTGGGCAGACATGAAGCCATAGTGTGGTTCAGAGGCTGAAGCGATCTTGCCACCCATCACTCCTCACTCCTGGTTTGATTCTGCCTCAAGGTCTCCTTCTGGTGCCTCAGGGAGAACAGGGGTTCCACAGGAGCTGAGAGTGATGCCTGGGTGGACATCAGGCTGGTTCCTGCTTTCTGATGTGACTGGGAGACTGTTGTGTGTGCCTCTACTGAGATGAATTTGCTTTGTTCTTCCACAGAACCGAGCTTGCAGAGTCCCGGACCTGCTGCCGAACCACCAGTCGGGTATGGAGAAGGAGCTATGCTAGGTCCTGGGAGTCGATGGGAACATGAGCTTGGTACAAGCCCATATGGCTTCTGTCCTCGGTGCTCTGAGTTTCAGCAGGGTGGCAAGGGTGTGGTGACTTAGCATCTGTCTCATGGTCTGTCCCATCTGGAGACACAGCTACGTCATGTGAGACGTGACACCGAGTTGTCCTTAGCATCTTGAGATGGTCCGTGGCTCCATCTGCATGTCCCCACGCTCCTTTGCTAGTGTGCCATGCCAGGGAATTTCCAGTGGGACATGCTTCACAGCCCTCCTGCATGTCCACTTAGGAGATGGTGGGAGTAGGGGGTAAGAGACTGTGTGTGGCTGTGTCCAGATGTCAAGCGGGGCTGTGTTATGCAAATGCACTCAGGTGCCTTCTTGTTTTGCTTTTTCCTTAAACTTGGCCGGCCACACTGAACTTGGATTTTGACGTAGCTGCAGTTGTGGACAAAGAGCTCGGGCTCCTCGCACAATGTGATGCCAAGCCCATGTTTGAGGGGCACTTATGTCATCCTTCCTCTGTGACTGAGACACGGAAGGGTGCCTGTCAGCCACCTGTCTGAGAAGTAGCTTTCATGTTCACTATCGTTGTGTGACGTGGCCTGGAAAGGCTCTTTCTCCTGATAAATGGGCTGAGTTCCATCAGTGCTTTGGGGAAGTGCAGCAGCTCTCCCAGGGCACATGGGTGACAGCCATGGGCCAACTGGAATGCCCTCAGAAAGAAGCTGCAAGGGCCTGTGTGTGCCCTCAGACGTGCTTGGACCCTGGTGCATCCTCTCCTGCTCCACGGTTGTGTGTCGTTGAGGCTGTGTGAGCACTCTGCTAGAAATCCATTTTTGTGGCCCATGGGCCTCTGGATCCTGGCACATTTTCTGGTGCGTGAGTTGACATGCGGGGGCCTCTGTGGTCGGGAGGTGCAGGGGAGGCAGGAGTAGGTTTCTGATCCTGGTCCAGAACATGGTAGTGGAGGGGAGGGGGTGTTCCTGGGCGGGAGGGGAGTGAGCCCAATGACAAGCAACAGCCCAGGACCCAGAACACCCTGGCTGGCCAGGGCCTGCAGTTGTCTCATAGCCTCTGCCTTCTGAGCTCCTCAGGAAGTCACCGAGCCACATGGCAGCTGCAGATGGCTTGGTTTCTCTTGCGAGGCTCAGGGTTATGGGGCAGGTTTGTTCCGTGGCCATGTTGGCCTTCTTGGTGCATCCTAGCATTGCTCTTGTGCCCAGGAAGAATGGCATTTTGACGGTCCTGTTCCCAGAAGCATGGGATTGAGGGGCCCACTTTGGTCAGGTTTCAGCTGCTAGGAAGCTTCTTAGGACACAGTCTCCAAGGCCCTGGCAATTCAGTGGATCTCGTGGGGTGTGTCTGAAACCAGCAAGGGTTATGTGTGCTTGTGCCCCGAAATGCCACCCAGGAGCCGATTTGGGGAAGGAGTCTGTGCGGCTCCCACATGACTCCGTGTATGCGTCGGATCCCATCCTGTGTGCCTGGTTTTGAGCTTCTCCCTGTGCTGAGATGAGCTTCCGAGAAGACTCGGAAGCATTGTGGGTGTCTGAGATGGGCAGGGCAAGTCTCCCCTGTTGCTTGTGATTGTGAGACGAGTCCATCTCCTGCAGCATGACCAGACAGTTTGGGCTTGTGTGCTTTCGCGTGTTGATCCCTGTTTGTGAATGTGAGCCCATGCTGACCAGTGGGGCTGGATCACATCCTACCCGCTGGGGGTGAATGGGGCTAGGTTGCACCTGCAAAGGGGCCCACCTGCATCAGGGCTCATCTCTCTCCTGAGGGACTGGAGGGAGCGGTGAGCACAGCCAGCTGGCTGCTTCTCCTTGGCACAACCCCATGCCTTGAAACAGCCACTGCAGACCAAGTTCCCTGAGCCTGCCCACCCTTCCTCAGCAGCTCAGATGGCTCACAGCTGCCCAGAACAGAGGCACTTTCTGCCTGCAGGTTTGTCCCTGTGTCCTGGAGAGCAAGGCAGGGGACATCTGGTATTCTCCTGGGTGTCCACAGCCACAAACAACGGTGGCACTCCTTTACTGAGGAAAGTGAGAGCGAGCACGAGAGAGCTGTGGCCTGAATCCTGATGGCTTCCTTAGGAGACCATTCATGTCTCTGAAAGTTCCTTTGTGTCTACAAGACTTGTCCAATGTAGAGTGTATTCTGAATACCACCTTCCTGGCCCACATCTGGAGCCCTTCATGGCCTAGTGCTTCTCGAGTGCCTTTTGCAATGGGAGCTGCACACAAGCCAGAGCCAGGGACAGGAAGCAAGCTTGCACAGTGGGCAGACATGAAGCCATAGTGTGGTTCAGAGGCTGAAGCGATCTTGCCACCCATCACTCCTCACTCCTGGTTTGATTCTGCCTCAAGGTCTCCTTCTGGTGCCTCAGGGAGAACAGGGGTTCCACAGGAGCTGAGAGTGATGCCTGGGTGGACATCAGGCTGGTTCCTGCTTTCTGATGTGACTGGGAGACTGTTGTGTGTGCCTCTACTGAGATGAATTTGCTTTGTTCTTCCACAGAACCGAGCTTGCAGAGTCCCGGACCTGCTGCCGAACCACCATCGGGTATGGAGAAGGAGCTATGCTAGGTCCTGGGAGTCGATGGGAACATGAGCTTGGTACAAGCCCATATGGCTTCTGTCCTCGGTGCTCTGAGTTTCAGCAGGGTGGCAAGGGTGTGGTGACTTAGCATCTGTCTCATGGTCTGTCCCATCTGGAGACACAGCTACGTCATGTGAGACGTGACACCGAGTTGTCCTTAGCATCTTGAGATGGTCCGTGGCTCCATCTGCATGTCCCCACGCTCCTTTGCTAGTGTGCCATGCCAGGGAATTTCCAGTGGGACATGCTTCACAGCCCTCCTGCATGTCCACTTAGGAGATGGTGGGAGTAGGGGGTAAGAGACTGTGTGTGGCTGTGTCCAGATGTCAAGCGGGGCTGTGTTATGCAAATGCACTCAGGTGCCTTCTTGTTTTGCTTTTTCCTTAAACTTGGCCGGCCACACTGACTTGGATTTTGACGTAGCTGCAGTTGTGGACAAAGAGCTCGGGCTCCTCGCACAATGTGATGCCAAGCCCATGTTTGAGGGGCACTTATGTCATCCTTCCTCTGTGACTGAGACACGGAAGGGTGCCTGTCAGCCACCTGTCTGAGAAGTAGCTTTCATGTTCACTATCGTTGTGTGACGTGGCCTGGAAAGGCTCTTTCTCCTGATAAATGGGCTGAGTTCCATCAGTGCTTTGGGGAAGTGCAGCAGCTCTCCCAGGGCACATGGGTGACAGCCATGGGCCAACTGGAATGCCCTCAGAAAGAAGCTGCAAGGGCCTGTGTGTGCCCTCAGACGTGCTTGGACCCTGGTGCATCCTCTCCTGCTCCACGGTTGTGTGTCGTTGAGGCTGTGTGAGCACTCTGCTAGAAATCCATTTTTGTGGCCCATGGGCCTCTGGATCCTGGCACATTTTCTGGTGCGTGAGTTGACATGCGGGGGCCTCTGTGGTCGGGAGGTGCAGGGGAGGCAGGAGTAGGTTTCTGATCCTGGTCCAGAACATGGTAGTGGAGGGGAGGGGGTGTTCCTGGGCGGGAGGGGAGTGAGCCCAATGACAAGCAACAGCCCAGGACCCAGAACACCCTGGCTGGCCAGGGCCTGCAGTTGTCTCATAGCCTCTGCCTTCTGAGCTCCTCAGGAAGTCACCGAGCCACATGGCAGCTGCAGATGGCTTGGTTTCTCTTGCGAGGCTCAGGGTTATGGGGCAGGTTTGTTCCGTGGCCATGTTGGCCTTCTTGGTGCATCCTAGCATTGCTCTTGTGCCCAGGAAGAATGGCATTTTGACGGTCCTGTTCCCAGAAGCATGGGATTGAGGGGCCCACTTTGGTCAGGTTTCAGCTGCTAGGAAGCTTCTTAGGACACAGTCTCCAAGGCCCTGGCAATTCAGTGGATCTCGTGGGGTGTGTCTGAAACCAGCAAGGGTTATGTGTGCTTGTGCCCCGAAATGCCACCCAGGAGCCGATTTGGGGAAGGAGTCTGTGCGGCTCCCACATGACTCCGTGTATGCGTCGGATCCCATCCTGTGTGCCTGGTTTTGAGCTTCTCCCTGTGCTGAGATGAGCTTCCGAGAAGACTCGGAAGCATTGTGGGTGTCTGAGATGGGCAGGGCAAGTCTCCCCTGTTGCTTGTGATTGTGAGACGAGTCCATCTCCTGCAGCATGACCAGACAGTTTGGGCTTGTGTGCTTTCGCGTGTTGATCCCTGTTTGTGAATGTGAGCCCATGCTGACCAGTGGGGCTGGATCACATCCTACCCGCTGGGGGTGAATGGGGCTAGGTTGCACCTGCAAAGGGGCCCACCTGCATCAGGGCTCATCTCTCTCCTGAGGGACTGGAGGGAGCGGTGAGCACAGCCAGCTGGCTGCTTCTCCTTGGCACAACCCCATGCCTTGAAACAGCCACTGCAGACCAAGTTCCCTGAGCCTGCCCACCCTTCCTCAGCAGCTCAGATGGCTCACAGCTGCCCAGAACAGAGGCACTTTCTGCCTGCAGGTTTGTCCCTGTGTCCTGGAGAGCAAGGCAGGGGACATCTGGTATTCTCCTGGGTGTCCACAGCCACAAACAACGGTGGCACTCCTTTACTGAGGAAAGTGAGAGCGAGCACGAGAGAGCTGTGGCCTGAATCCTGATGGCTTCCTTAGGAGACCATTCATGTCTCTGAAAGTTCCTTTGTGTCTACAAGACTTGTCCAATGTAGAGTGTATTCTGAATACCACCTTCCTGGCCCACATCTGGAGCCCTTCATGGCCTAGTGCTTCTCGAGTGCCTTTTGCAATGGGAGCTGCACACAAGCCAGAGCCAGGGACAGGAAGCAAGCTTGCACAGTGGGCAGACATGAAGCCATAGTGTGGTTCAGAGGCTGAAGCGATCTTGCCACCCATCACTCCTCACTCCTGGTTTGATTCTGCCTCAAGGTCTCCTTCT